CACAGAAATAATACATGGCTGGATGGCATCTGCAATAACATAATATTATTTCTAATAGTGGTTCTCAAAACAACGGAACGCGCAATAAGACAATATTAAAAATAATTGTTTGTCTCGTGCATGCGTTCGGTGGAGCTAACAGATTTGTTCAAATGGGGATAAATGTGATCTCGATTCACAATCGCCTAGAACCGAACCGGTATAGATATTTTCGAATGATCGAAACCAATATTTTTGGTTGATAAATATCGGGTTTTTTCGATGATCATATTGATTTTGTTTTATATTATTCTTTTTGAAAATAACACGCTGAAATTATCTTTTCTCGATTTTAGTTTTCAAAAAATTAATTAATTTATTGTCATTTTATTTTTCTAACTAACGCTAGTATAAAATAAATGTTAGTACGTTTTGAATTGTACTCGGTGAAAAGTTGTACTTAAGTAGGTGTCTTAAATATTGTGCACTTATAGCGATCTATTATTTCGTTCCGATGAAAAAATGTTTGGAACCCATTCGAAACTGGTGTTAACCGGAAACCAAATCTTAACCATTAATTTGTATTTTCTAAAAACCCGAACCAGAACCTTTAAGTAAAATCACAGGCCGCCCGAACCGGAACCAGAATTAAAAAAAAAAAAAAAAAAACCATAATGTACCAGTCCCTGGCGCGAATATACGAGGAATTATTACCACGGGAAAAAGGTAATTATTTGTCGTCGTCAACTCACCTCCAATTACGTAGGCAATTTCTCTTTAATTATTCACGCAAAACTTCCACTGTTATCCCGCAATATTGTTATAGTATATTTAAAATTATATTATAAATATGTGTCTTTTTCAAACTCTTTAATTACGTTGTTAGTACCTGCCCGTTTTGTAATGACTCCGTTAGGAAATTCAACACTTCGCGGCGTAGAACGGTCGGTCAAGTCCATGAGACGGCGTATAAAATCTGTCGTTTACAACGCAACGCGTATTTACAATCATTGTAACAATATATTGTACGGCGAACGTTTTAATGAATACCCGTGTATGCCATGAATGCAGATAGTTTCAACGTAACGCGTTTATTCCCACAATTTAATATCTATTCGAATAATTTCTGTTTTCGACTACTTGCCCGTATAAAAAAAAATATATTTTAATATATTGAATCGATTTTCGTCGCGAACAGAAACGTCGGCCTTTTTGTCGAATTTTCCCAGAGTAAAAAGCGCCCCGACGCACAAACAGTACAGTGGCTGTGTTTGTGTGCAGTACTACACAATTTATGCACTACTGAATCCGAATTGTTCATTTCGGAAAACCGTGCAAAAATACGCACCTGTACTTGCGTTTTTATAAAAGACGAGCCATACGATTCCGCAGATGTAAAGAAAACATTTTTGTTATTATTATTAATTAAGTATAACCAATGCTCGATAAGACACTCATTATCCCGGAAAGTATTCATTTATTTCGGAATTTCGTTTTCGGTCCACTTTTGTAAAACAAATAGCCATAAAATGCCATATTTTTTGTCATTATTTTTTTTTTTTTTTTTAGGGGGTGAAACCACCACTCAATTTTTTTTTTTGAAACAGAAACGTACTTTACAAGTGCCATAAATAGCTAGCGTTTTAGTAAAAATAAATTTCGGTGTTATAATGTTTAAATTGTATTTACAAGGCCTGTATATATCAAACTCAAATATTTGTACGTGCGCTACGAATGGTCTGGAAAATGGCCACTTTAAAATTTCTACTCTATATAATGACCTCTGCTGCTCACGGGTGTTATTGTTGTTGTAGTAATATTCATTTAACGATTTCTGTTCATTTTTAATCCGTTATTTATTTATGCGTATATACACGACCACTTTACTCATTTTCGTGTACCTCGTGTGGTAGTTATTTGTTTATCGGTTTTAAAATCGGATGCCAAATCCCCGCAGCGGTTTACCTATCGATTTGGGATATTAAAAACAGATTCGGAAAACAGTATAATATTGTATAACTAGATTGAATGTAGGTATACGCAATCATAGGCGAAATCAGGCATTTTCATTGGGCCATTCGGTGAGAGTCATTTTATACCCATTGATGATAGGATTTTCTAAAACTGTACTTGGACTACCGTTATTCAGATTTATATTCAAATTTCCAATATTATTATTATTGTTAATAAGTACTGCCTAGTCGGTGCAAATGTCTGGTCTCTGCAATTATTTTGTACTAAATTCTAAAAAAAAAAAAAATAAGTAGATATACAATTTATTATAAAGAGACACATAAAAGAAACATATTATCAAATATCTAGTAAAATAAAAACGTTTCTCGTCGCTCTCAAAATTTAAATCAGGCGTCATATAAGAAAACCAATATATTACTTGCTTCAAATCTAAAAAAAAAAAAAAAAACGCACTGTGACTGCACGCGTTTCCCGTATCGATTTCGTCGTTTTCGCCATAATATCCGTTTATATATTGTATACTCGCGGCAGCTATTTTTCAAAAACTTCGTGAACGTCTCTGTATTAGACTGCCGTCTGGGTTTTGTTTAATTTTTCGCGAAAACCCGTTTCCCGCCGTACCTATAGGTAGGTAGTATAAATACGCACTATTTCTCGCGTCAATGATATCCTCATATTTTAGCCCCGAGCATTAAGTCCGCTTATCTCTGCGGAGAAGAGAGCCGATCCGTCTAGATAACTGTTACTTCCTTTCTTCATCATATCCCCTCCTCCGACCAACCCCGGGGACTTAACCGTAATTTGTCACTCTTTCTCGACGTCTATATACCTATATAATATACACACCCACCTATACCTATACTGTGCAAGTCCCGCGTATACGCGCATCTCTTCCATCCCCCCCCCCCGGTTCGTGCGCGTATTTTGTCGCCGTTTTAAAATTTTTGAAACATACACAACGATAGTTATTAAAACAATCGGGGTCGAATAATATTCCGTTGGCATATCGTTTTAACCGGTTGACCGCGTATGCGGGTGTTCGTAATGGGATGCGTTCAAAATCCCGACACCGAAACACGGTCTTTTAGGAGACAGGCCACGAATATTCTCAAAACGTATACTAAATGAATAAATTTAAATTTCAAATTATTTGTAGCGAAATTTCGATAGTTAATATCCTAATAAGTAATATCACCGAATTCATTTCGCACCTACGTGTACACGTTCACGTAATATTTAGTTCGAACCACTGTACCGACGTATGAGTACACTCTATATGAGAACACGGGACACTCGACGATATTTTGGTGACATTTTTATGGGCAAATTTCGACTCTTTCGCGATTTTAATTGTCGGAAATTCTTCCAAGACCAATTAATAATAATTTGACGAGTAAAAATCGTATCCGATACTTCGCACACTCGTACGGGAATCTGTAATTTGCATTAATATAAAGCGGTGTAAATTGCATCTTCGCAGACAGTCGAAAACAGCTTTTTGTAATTTACAACAAAACCATTAACAATGTATCGATTATTTAGACTTTACATAATGCATCGAAATTTGTGTATAACAGGCACTCGTGAAACCGTGAAAAATTTCCGTTACATACAAGCGTCCGTTGTAGAATGGTTTTGGTGTTTTTATTGACTAATCCATTCGGCTACTTGCTGTTTTCTCATGCAAACATTCTCGTCGAGTTTACGAATAAACAAGCCACCGAAGTGTCTTTGCACCGAATAATTTCGAATTTTTAATTTCAATCGAACGATTTTCGCAGTACAAGTGGCCGCATTGTAAATACGAAAACAATATATTCTGAATGAGCACAACAGTATGACGGCATCCGGTTAAAACGGGAAAATAGGATGAAATATTTTATTTACGTTTATCACGCAATAATTTTCAGTGATATAAAAGTAATAGGTCTATGGTCGAATTCATTGGTTTTCTTAGTGTTACACACAGTCCGTAATCGTGCCAACGGCTAGAAATATTAATATCCACCCCCGTTATAGAAAAAGCCCGTTGTAGACAGGTTGACATATATTGAAATTCGAAGTACCCATATTTTTGTTGTGGTCATGTTTATTTTTTCCGTCGAGAAAGGTGTCCACTATGTACAGGTGCCCTGTCTTAACAGATTTCACTGTAATACGTCATGTATTATTTGCCCGAGAAACATAAAACTGGCAATTCAATCCAACAACAATATGGCATCGACTTGGATGTGTTTAATTCGATACATACCAGTATAGAATATTTCATATTTTTTTTTATGATTTAATTTAATTTATTTATTGAAAAACTTGATATATTTTGCATTCTCAACTGCCTGTTGTTTCATTAAATTTATTAAATGACTTTATTTATAAGTGTTCTGGGAGTCTTTAAAAACAAATAAACTATAATGTACAATATACATATTACATAAAATTTGTGTAACTATATAATTGTAATTGTATGACCTATATTTTCATTGAAAATGCTGTATACTTGGATAACCGCCGACATCATCTGTCGTCCATCTAAATTCTAAATTAATATTGTTTTTGTTTTCATACTATACCGTCCAAGGACTAATTGATTTGAATTCTATTGTCAATATTACCGTTCATATTTTTTTACTAGGGACCCGCAATCGTGTAAAAAACGTGTATTTATTCCGGTGCAAACGACAAACTCGTTTTAAATAATATGCCGGAGCATATTAGTACACCTTCTTTATATTTATAAATTGACTACATACACCCGTCGATATAAGGATAGCGAATACAAATAATCGTTAAAAAGTTTTGATGCGCATCATTCACGAGACGTTTTTTTAGTTTGTATGGTGCAATTTTTTCGTTTTATTGAGGACATCAAAAATATTGTCTTGATATACTATAAGTAAAGAAAATCATAAAAAAATTTTCGAAAAACATATTATGATGTCGGCCTTGTGTAGTTGAAAAAAAAAAACTAAAAAATATTGTTACCAGTATATTATAATAGATTCGGTGGGACGCGGCTCGTCGATATTTTAGACTCTGGGCAAAGTGATTAGAAATCTATTGGATTTTTAATGATTAAATTACTAGACGCCTTTGAATTATGCTCCCCTCCACGAAAATCTTTAGTAAAATACGAAAGATTTGTTCGTAGTGAAGGGAAACCGGAGATTTAAAATAATTTGTTTTTATATTTATCATACATATTATATTATGTGTAGGTCTACATTAATAGTGTCTGTAAACCACATTTTTACCAGAAATCTTGCTTCAATCAAAAACTGCATAGAAACGTTCTTGTAGTGTTTTATATCTATTTGGTGTAGTGAGAATGTCGGTTTTTTTTTAATTCTCTTTGTATTTTTCTTAATTAATGTGAACAAATAAAATTAACTTGTATAATATTTGCTGTTGACTTCTGGGTTACCTTGACAACAAGGAAAATTGATTACGACTAATCATACTCCGCTCAGAATAGTTTTTCGTTACTAATCGTTTATCGTTGCGTACTTTATAGTTAATAATTCGATTTGTATCTAAAAATCGAATTAATCTAAACAACATCCTCTCTTTTAATTTTGCTTTTATAATAGTTGCACACCCATCGGCAGTATCAGTCTTTTATAATATTACTATAATTTTCAGTCGCGTCAAAATAGTTAAATAAATAAATATTTGAAAAAATGTCAAGCATAATTTGGAGATTGTGAGTTAAATGAAGAAGACATTAGTTATACAAACATTTGGCTTTTATTCGGTAAAAACTTGTACAGTTCTTAAGTAAAAATATTCTGATTTTTTCATGTCATGTCATAAATCATAACATTTTTACATTTTTACACGTGTCCGACACGTGCTTTTCACCTGATGGTATTTTTTTTAAGAAAAGTTTTACGAAATAAATTTTCGACTACATTTTTGAACACTATTTTGATGCAAATGTTCGGATTTTTTCACGCAGTACTTTCGCTCGAGGTACTTCATTTGCAACGTTTACCGAAATTGTCCGCAGTTTCTTTATTTTGATGTCCGTGTTATCTGGGCAACAATTAACAAGGTAAAATGATACGACGTGATAATACTACACCGTTCACAATCGTTTTTTTCTTTGACAATGATTTATCGTGGCGGTACATAAACAAAATTAACACTCAGTACATATCCTATTTGTTCCCAATTACCAGCGAGCTGTATAATTTTTTGAATTTTTTTTATGAAAAGCATAACACGATATTTATTGTGCATGTCTAAACGACTTTTTGTGCATACAAATTCGGCCACCGGTTACAATATTATTATAACAGCCAGTTTGCCATACCTACCTACGGATAACTGACATTACTGTTATTGCGTTATATAGTTTATAGCACATACTCTTTCCGTGCCAAAGGGTTTTTTTTTTTTTTTATCGACCTGCGATATAGCTACAGTCGTTTTTAATATTTTTTTTTTCACCATTGCGCGTCTCGTATATTTCGTAAATAAAATATAAATGTGTCTGCGCACGGTGTATACAACGACAATGTTCATTAGCATTAATTTTTTTTTTTCTGATTGATTGAATCTATTAAAACGTATGCATATAAAAAACGAGTTCGTTTTTTGAAAAATCGACGGTAGACTTTTTTTTGGGTTTTTGTTTCTATGCCTACCTTTTTGCATTCGAAGTCATCGATTTTAATATTGCACAGTATAATTATATATCGTTTTTAATAAATCTAAACATCCATTTTTACGCTGTTTCATTCGAATAAAAAATAATTAATAATATAATGTTTTTTTTTTATTTTGGTTCCACGTTATTAATATTATTCAGGTATATGCGGATCAGAGTAATTTATTCTATTTTATTCCGCCTCTAAATATCGCCTCAAAATACACTAATAATATGATCATATTTAAAACCAATATCGTGAATCGTATAAAACGTTTTTATTATTATTTTTTTTTCATATTTATTTGAATAACGGCTTCAATACCATTATGCCGGCGGTTATTGTGAAAAATAACTGTACCGAATCGGACGACTAGGATAAACATTCATTGAAACTCGTACGTAAAAAAGCGAATCCCACATAACTATTGTAATATTGTTTTAAAATCTTAAATATTGATTTTATTAAATGTCAAATGTTTCAACGTACAATAACATTAAATAAATATCATTTTAATGATAAATAGTGAATATTTATAAACGTTTAATAATTAAAAAAAAAAAAAAAATTAAAACAATATTTAAAATGGACCTCGTATAAAACGTTCAAACAATTCTACTGGGTGAAAATGATTATATCCACATAAAACCAAATAAAATTAAAAAACATGAAAATATGAAATACTCATAGTAGTAAATTTCAAGTTTTGATTTAACAACAAACGTGATGTAATTTTTTAATAATATTATTTGCATGACATTCAAAAATTAACCAACTAAATCACGCCGCACACGATGATTGTTAATGACGGTTCCTTTGCGGGAGCGCGAGCTGGATTTCTGACAGAACTAGTCTCATTTACTTGCTTGATTCATTACTGGATTTGAACGCGAACCGATCGGAGAATAGCATCTTGCCGTGAGACCGTTTTAGTGATAGGGTGTCTGTGATTTCTAGTTGTATAAAATATAAAACCATCCCGGCAATCAGCGTGTCAACACGATCACAAAAGAAACCCAATAACAAAACAAGCGCTGCGTGTACCAAGCTTAAATAAAAAGTCTATACAATATTATGTTTGTTGGAATATCTGATATAAATTTCGAATAGGTCGAATAGGACGAAACAAATGAAATTTAATATAATTCATGTCATAAACTAATTTAATGTAATTTTCAATAAATATATTATCATTATCATTGTTATATCTTTATTTACGTAAAAACAACTCCATTTGCATATAGAAAACGATATATGAACGAACACTGATTATAATTTTTAAAAATATCATAAAGTACTACTCGTATTAAATTATGTGTTGTTTCAATATTAAACCTACTTTATATGATCCAGCTTTGCCGGCGCATCGGTTTAGAGTACGTATTGAAAAAACAAAAAAAAAAAACAAAAAATAATTATTTTATCGTATTTCTATTAGAGGGAGAAATGTTCCATTCAAAACACTCACGTCAAATTTACTGAAATGTATACATATATCATACATTACAATATCTAGCAACAAACCGATGGACAAACAGACGACTTTTTTTGTTTGATGTACAGTGTACACCTCTGTTTTCCTAACTTCTCGTCTACAACAGTGGCCCACCGTGCGAAGTATGTTCGTATCTTTTTTTTTTTTTTTTCGTTTTATCAACGAAATCTAAATTCCCGATCGTATCGACGGAAATAACGCGGACGGCCCGATCCGTTTGTAACAATCTCGTCGTTTTGTAACGTATTATTTTCGTAATATCTGTACGCCTACGCGTGTGTACAGGACGTACTATTATCCTTGCCCGTTTCGATAACCGATCGACATTCGGTATCTTCTGTGTTTTATTATTATCGTTATTGTTGTTGCTGTCGTTGTTGTTGCGTTGCGAATAATGATACGTTCCGTTTATTGTCCGAACAAACGGTAAATAGGTACCTCCCCTACCTATATCGCATTGTATAGGCGTTTGAACTCGTACGGCGAGATTGTATATGATTATGCGTCGCAGTCAATAAAACGTACCCATATAACTGCAATACAGCTCCGTCCTTTTCCATACACCTACATAATATGGTATATTATTGTTTTATGTCGTCCCATCTTTTTATTCACGGTGCCCGCCTAACCTATATTTATACCGAGATACGTGCGCACGTATTGTACCGTAAGTATAATGTATAGTTTTTCCGAACGCATTAGCCACTTACCACAAGCCGCCCGTTTATTCGCCTTTAAATAACCGGCACGGGGGTTCGGTTTCCCGTCCGTATACACCTATGTAAAGCCTAATCGAAATTTATATAATTACCCGCACAATCGTTTTGGCTATTGCTCGCCGCGCGCGTCAGGTCGAATGTGATCAATAATGGATTTCGTTCCAATTAAATTTCACCGGTAAAATATTTTAATTGAATTACCTAGCCGTCGCGGTCGTTTCGTTATTTTAAACGACCGGTACACGTTTCTATGCGTACACTGTATGTATAGTACATCCATAGACAACACGAGAAAAAAGAAGAAAAAAAATACATATATACCGCGCTCGATTCCGCCGAAATAGACTTTTTCGATTTACGATCAATCGGAAAATTGCAGCCGCGGGTAAGGTTTCGTTCGTTACCCGTCTAAGAATAACGACAATAAAAAATGCGTTATAACTAAAAATCGCCACTGATTGCGAACAACCGTTATAATAGTCGACTGCCTGTTATGCCTATAATGGGTGTACTGATTTTCTGTCTATAATCCACGATCGTAATGATAACTTATACACACAATCGTAATACTATTACCATTACTTCAATTATTCATTTTATTTTTTTCGATTATTAAGAAAACTACCAGGCGAATCAATAAACTCCTCGATACAAAGACTAGACGATATTTTCTTACAGACAATATGCTACGCTTGATACATGGAACAAGCAGTCAAGTTAATTACAGGCACGAAAATAAAATTACCATCATTATAACAAATCAATAAATCACGGTAAAACCAATTCGCTATGTTTAGAATCTAACAAGCTCCGTAATCTGAAATGCTCACAGAATACAAAATTAGTTATCTTTTGATGTGTGTTACAATTTTCAAAACACTAGCAATTTTTGAAATGTTGATAGCCATTTTACATTTTTCAAATTCTCGAAAATTCGATACGATATTAAAAATCCGAATCACGAATTAAAGATTCATTTTTATAAGCGTTGAAAATTTAAATAATGATGAAATTCAAAGACATCACGACAGTCATCATAGACCGCGGATAAAATTGTTTTGGTTCAACGAAAATGTTCAAAAAATTGAGATGAAAAACATTGACAATTTTTCAGTTAGCAATCAATCGTGTTTCCCATTTAAATCTATAAAAACGTGTTCAACCGTACTTTAAATTGTTTTCGTTGGCAATAGTGAATAGTGTATCGTAGTGAATAAATGCATAATATATACATTGAATTCCTTTATAATTCTTCTACTTCCCCATCCCACAAACTTTAAGGAACCCCGAAAGGCCGAGAACGT